CCATCTCTCTCTCTCTCTCTCTCTCTCTCTCTCTCTCTCTCTCTCTCCCTCTTTTTCTCTCTCTCTCTCTTTCTCTCTCTCTCTCTCCTCTCTCTACATGTGTGTGTTTACAACCCCATCGGCATAATTTAGATCTTTTATGGGGGGGGGGACTTCGGCCTTGCGGGTGAGGACCCACTCAGACTGAGCGAGGCACATCATCCAAGCAGAAAGACCGAGATACTCGACATTAAAGATCCAACGTCACCAGAAGAGACCGCATAAGAAACGAAACCATACGTCTACAAACTGGAATACCACCAGTAATAAAATTCATAGATCGTCAAAGAGTCAAATGGTCTGACCAGAATGCCCCAGAAACAAATAGCGGCTACAGCTTACAACACCCGAGAATTCGGTTTCAAATCAAGAGAAAGACCAAGAAAGACCTGGCTGCTGGGGGTTAAGAAGGTTCTGGAACAACAATACATATCTATCTCAGACACTACACACCTAGTACAGGACCGAAAACTGCACCTCCCTTCGACATCCTAGGGATACCAGAGGAAAGAAGACGTAAAAAGTAAAGATTCTCCCTACAAGGGAATCAAACTGATGTATCTTGCGTGCCACGGTGATGAAACTAACTGCTGCGCCCCAGACACCAATGGAGAGAGAGAGGGAGGAAAGGAGGGAGGAAGGGAGAGTGAGAGCGAGCGAGAGAGAGACAGAGAGAGAGAGATGACGAGTGTCAAGTGGATAGATAGATAGATAGATAGATAGATAGATAGATAGATAGATAGATAGATAGATAGATAGATAGATAGATAGATAGATTCGAAGACGTTTGAAGTTTCGAAAGTGTTTTGGATTTTAGTTTGACTTGTTTTTAATTCAGATATTTGATTTTGTTCCAGCGATGGAATAATAATATGGAATATTGAGGTAAAATACTATACTTGATATGCCACGGAGGTTGGGAGGGGGGGGGGTCAATAATATTAGTACTTTTATAAAGATTCGAACAAGATTCCTCCATACTGCGACAGTGACGCCCTCCCCTCGTATTGGTAAGATTGTCACGTGAAAGATCGATCTCTGTAAGTGGCTTCCGTAAAATTGCAAAAGTTCTATCTGCTCAGTACCTAGATTTGAGAAATCTGACGTAAAAAATGTTGAGTTTCCCAACATGTCAAGCTTTTTCGAATGCAACTCTTTGAATATCTTGATAAAGACTCCACTGGACCAGGTGATTTCTGACATCATGGTCCTGGTAACTCAAAACAGCCCCCAAAAATGTCAGGAAAAAAAACCTTTGTAACTCTAAAGTAGCGAACTAGCTAGTAATACAACTAGACCATTTACTGTAACAATAAGACAAGAGGGGACTAAGACCCACTTGTTTAGTAACTCATTATGTTCTGATAACAGAACAGGTGGTTGACGCACCACTGGTAGCTCTTACTTTTGTTTTTTCCCTCTGTCGTTTTCCTATCTCTCTTTTCTTACTCATTGTGTACGCACGTTTTTGTGACTAGTCGTTTCTCTCAACGCAATCCGAACTTGTTGGAACCGACGAACACAGAAATACCCCCCGGGGCGGTGCTACTACTGGAGTGTCTTTAGGCCATTCCCAAAGGGGGGACATTAACATGTTCTTATGCATTGTAGAATTCTAAATGGACTGATTCATCAATGCCATGCTCATAACTGTGCCTGAACTGCAACAGAGAACTGCTGCTTTTTCTTTCCTCTTCCTTACTATTGTTATTTTTCCTCTACTTCTTTTGTGTGTTTGTCACACTCTTGTGACTCGCTATTTCCCGGGTGCCTTGATAGTCGAAGTAGACTTTGTGCTGTTTTAGCTAGAGAAGTGTGAAGAGCAAGACTGGTTCCCAGTAAGGACTTCTCTGTTGAAATCCACCTCTTGGCGCGCATATGACCTTATGCATTTGTGAGCGCTGTAAAAACTCTTCTAAAACTATGTTCACAGAAAAAAGTAAAATTATTGTATGCGATAGGTTACAGTCGGCTTTAAACGTATGGTACCTTAGCAGATATGTCTCCCCAAATCAAAAGAGAAAAACACGCTAATCTCTTAATTTCTGAACTAAAGTCGACTCTGCGAAAAACACTTTAATAATAATGTCGACAAATTTATTTTCCCAACTTTGAGAATGCACAGTTAAGCCAGAAAAGAGGGAAGACAATGAGAGGATTGATATGCCCCCGAGGTCTAGGGAATACCAAAAGGCAGCAACCGTTGACCCCGTTGAGCATTCCTCTTTAGCTAAACGTAGTAACATTCCTCAATGAAGCGCATAAAAGTTCTGTAACGTCTTTTGGGAAAAATATTTTAAAAAATCAGTTACACAGTTCATATACATCGGGGCTCTAAAATTACTTGGGGGTAGCTGAAGGTAATTTTGATGCAAGCTTGGGCTACATCAGTTATCCCACAAAAACAGGTTTCATGAATTCAAAAATGAATTCACTACTGGTTTAACAATGTCCTAAATATTTACTAATACCAACTCAGCCCATGAACGATTCTTCAGATTATAGGCCTCTCTTTATCTATTTCTTTTTGCCACAAACCTGTGGGTTGCACTAATATTAAACTTTGGTGCCAAATAGTCGATGCAAAATATATAATTATCTTCCTGGGAGCCTCAATTGGCCTTCTGTCTCGAATTTAAGAACCCTGGTGTACGTAGCTCTTACTAAAAGACAAAAGATACTCACTTCGTTTATGCTTTTTCTTATATATCTACGAGCAAAAATCGGACACACATCATCGACATTTTCCACAGTTATGTTCAGACTTGTGACAGCAACGTTCTGGACGTCTACACCTTTGTCACGGGCTGCCAGATAGAGTGTGAACGACCGTCTTTCCTCGTAGTCCAGAGGGGAAACTAGGCTCAGCTCTCCTGAGAATAGAAAGGAAAAAAGGGATTCAACTCAGCTCAGTTGTGTAGCGATTAGGCGCTTCTCCATCGCACGTATAAAATTTGAGCTCGATTCGTACGTCTTTCTGCGGAAGGTTATATCCCCCTGAGCTCATATCGTACCATATCATGACATTATCATGTCATTCCCTGCCATGCGATGCCGTGCCGTATATCTTGCCATACAATGCTATACCTTACATCATATCATAACATAGCACAGCATAGCATAGCACAGCACAGCACAGCACAGCATAGGATACCATACCATACCAAACCATATCATACCATACCTTACCATATCATACCATACCACACTGCAACCTGCCACCCTATACTATATCATACATCACATGACACTATAGCATACCATTCCCGTGTGTACCACACTACACCATAGCCCGATAATACCACAGTATATCCCGTCGTACCACAATGCACGAAATCCGACCAGACCACCCGAAAATATACCATTCCAGGCTGACACCCAGGCCTTCACAAAAAACTTCACTTATATGACCTTATTGTGTTGTAAGTGCTGCAAAACTATTACTAAAACTAAACTAAACAAATATGTTCAAATATCCCGAGAAATATAATAATGTGAAAAAAGAGACAGAAGAACAAGCAAACAAACAAAAAAATATCCCAGAATCTGACATAAATCCGGGATTAGAGACTCAGGCCCGACGTAGTGCTCTAGGAAAAGCTCATTATATGAATTTGCCTCACTATACCCTCGGTTCGAACAAGGATTTTTCCGCCCCCCCCCCTGCCCACCCAGCAGTAATGTGTACAGTTATGAGTCAACAAACATTCAAAATTGGTACCCTCACGATTTTCAGTTTCTGACTACAGTCGTTTTCCCCTGTAACCTTCAAGTGCTTTACCTGCTCTTTCAAAATGGTAAGATTATTCGGAGTCGTTATCAAGATATTCAAAGAATTGTATTTGAAAAAGTTTGAAATACTGTGAAGCTCAAAGATTTTGACGTCAAATTTCTCAAAACTTGGTACTGGGCAGAAAGAACTTTGTATTCCTGGGTAGCGAAATGCAATCTATTATTATCATAATTCACCTGATTGCCCATCAATGGAGAAGTGTCCAGCGCTGCCATTTACGATGCTGTAAGTTAACTCGCCGTTTTGTCCCAGGTCACTGTCTTGTGCTGTCACAGTCATTACTGGACCTGGATGGACAAACGTTATGTAAGTCAAAGGCGGAAACTCAGTGAATCTTTTCCATCCTCAAGCTTGTTGTTGAACACCCTATCCGTGCTTCGTGTTTTACTGTTGTATCCATACGACGTGGGGAACTGTATGTTGCACTATTTTCCAATGAGGAAATGTACTCGTTAATCCAATCCGTACGCTTTGCATAGCAGTCTGTTAAAATTATTTTTTGAGAAATACTGAAAGTTTCAAAGAGATCTTCGAACTAGAAGTATTCTAAAATGTGACGAATACAACCCCGGGGGTATAAAATGAACACAGGGTGTACGGATAGGGTTAAAGTGCCTAGAGCTGTGTTCACACGGGAGTGGGCGCTAGAGAAATTATCTACATTACTATGGTTATTATGATGATTTTTTTTTAAATTGTTATTGTTCTTTCTTATTATGGGTCGGGGGGTTTTGTGGGGGGGGGGGGGGGGGGTTGAGTTATAAGATTTCCCCCCAATACCAGTTTGCAAATAATATGATCTCTGGGGTGTAATGGTTGGCCAGTTGGATGTGCCACGCAGAAGACATGAGTTCGAATGCTTTGTTGGACAGTTTGTAGTTCATTTTCTTGCTGCTGTTGTTATTTTGTTTTAGCATTGTTTTGTTTTTGAGTCGGATATATCTATTGAATGAAGGTGCGGTGGTGGAGCGATTAGTGCGCTCGTCTCAGAAGCGGAAAGTCCGGGTTCAAGCCTTGGTTCGGACACAGATTTTTTTCGCCTCCGCCTGCCCACCCAGCAGTAATGAGTACCTGACTTCGAGTTTGGGAAGTAAAGGCGGCGTGGAAAGGAACTAGCCCCCCTACGACAATATTCCGAAGGCTCAGGAAGTTGTCCCACTAACGAGGCAATCCCCAATGTCCGGTTCGGATGCCGGAACAACTTTACTTTTTTATATCTAGAATCTATTGAGTTACTCCGAGTTCCTGCTGGGATGTTGCATTTCGATCAGGCTGGGTTAGTAGTACTGACTGACAAAAACGACACAGCCAGCCCACAGTATGATCTATATTGTGTCGATAGTGGTGTAAAATATTGATTTGCAAAAACAAAGATACGCAATATAATGTGTTGTCACCTTATCTATCTGAGGGCTCAAAACCTAACAGAAGTGTTGAATAACATTCTCTTTGTAACATCAAGTCGTGCCTGGGGGTCTTTACAGCAAAAACCGTGTTACAGATAGAGCTCGTTACATAATATTCTTTACCGCTCATGTGTGTGCTCCTGATTTGCAGAAATCAGAATATGAATTCATTTGTCACTTGTAAAAAAGAGCGTTATTGTAAATATGTTTGCGTCCCTTCCAACACAATTTACATCATTTTAGAGACTTGCTGTCAGAGCCCTTCAATGCTCAGAGGGATGCAATATTCCAGCAGAAAGACCGAGATACCCGGTTTAAAAAAATCTCCCCACTTGGTGTTTGAACTCTGGTCTCCTGCGTGGAATTTCTCCTTTTGAATAGATCTTTATCATCGTAAACTAGATTTCAGCATCGACAAAATTAAACACAGATTACTATTCTTTGGTTGTCTTCTTCATAATATCTTCATTGTCCTTGCTCCTCTTTATGTTTACATAAAAGCAAAACGGAGGTTTAGCTTGGCTTGATTAAAACCAATTCCCTTTTCCTTGTTACTTTGAAACATCATAATCAATCTCTCTCTCTCTCTCTCTCTCTCTCTCTCTCTCTCTCTCTCTCTCTCTCTCCCTCTCTCTCTCTCTCTCTCTCTCTCTCTCTCTGTCTCTCTGTCTCTCTTTATATTTTTTTTCTCTTTCTCTCTTTCAATGTATGTATAATATATCCAATGTAGTCAAACTAGTCAGCCTTCATTTTAATAATATACTCTTTTCCACCTGTCTCCTTTCCAACAATAATTAACAACCATGAAACTCACCTACAGCCCTATCTTCCTTAATATGCAAAGTTTTAGGGTAGTCAGACCCAAATGTAGGAGGATTATCATTGACGTCATCAATCTTGACGGTGACTCTGATCTTAGTATACTTTCCAGACGCCCTCAAAATGACGTCAAAACTGTGTTTGTCTTTGGTCTCCCGATCCAAAAGGCCGGTCACAATGATGTCTCCTGTTTTAGGGTCAATGCTGAATGGTACCGGCACTACATGGTCGGGCATCTCAAACACTGTGACGTCACGATATATGAAGTGTTCAGGGGAATATTTGAGTAAGGATCCCTGGGAAAGAAACATGCACGGGATTATGAACTACCTGTCGTATATATGATAGTTGGAAGTTAGATCGCATTTTTGGCACTGAGCAAATTTTGAAAAATAGGGCACTAGCAATGCTTAACCAGTTCTCATCATCGTCATCATCATCATCATCATCATCGTCATCATCATCATCATCATCATCATCATCATGTAGAACTAAGTACCAGCACCTGGAAGATGTGTATTCTGGGTACTCCTATAAGCGGGAACAAAAATCTATCACGTGTCTCTGGGACTAGGTTGAGCTAGCGAGACTGCATTCGGACCATCACTGGAGTTTAGGTTGGTATAAGAACTTTGTAAATGAAGAGCTCTGCCCATGTTGCTGAAGATGCGGCCATGAAAAGGAGAATGTCAAACATATGTTTGAATGCCCAGGGACAATGGCAATTCGAATGGAGTTATTTGGACGAGTGGGGGTGCCGCTAAGAATATTGACAATGGAGCCGAAAAAGAGCCTCGCTCTCGCTCGAAGATTTCTTCGTGAAGTCCGTCAGGCCCATTAATGAAACACACAAAAAAATCATCATCATCATCATCATCATCATCATCATCATCATCATCATCATCATCATCATCATCATCATCATCATCATCATCATATAATATGATGCCCCATTAGTTTTATTTCGACTTTTAATTAACAATATTCCCCTTCGTGAACTTCGCTAGATTTTATTACATCTGATTATCAATCCATTGTTGTGCTGAGCTAGAAGAAACAAATTTCATGCGCAGATAAAGAATACTGTGTCTTACCCATAGAATGATTGTATTGTTTTGAGCATCCTCTCTCACTGTGACGACATCATTGTAGGGGTCCACACGCAAGTCATCGTCGTTTACATACACAATGAGGATGCCAAGGATCTGGGGAGAGGGAGGTGGTTCTCATATATCGTGGGGGGGGGGGATGGGAGAGGAGGAGAGGAGGTGGAGAAAGGGAGTTGGAGAAAAAGGGAGATAAAGGGAGATAGAAGGAGAAGAAAAAGAGATCGAGGGAAAGAGAGAGACAAAGTGGGAGAGAGAAGGGGGAGGGAGGGACGGAGGGAGACAGTCAGACAGACAGACACACAGAGAGAGAAAGAAGCAGAGACAGTCAGACAGACAGACAGACAGACAGACAGACAGACAGACAGACAGACAGACAGACAGACAGACAGACAGACCCTGACTGTCCGTGTGTGTCAAAATCATGTGTTTCTTGTCTGGGTGCCGATGTAGCTACTCAGGCTAATCTCCGATCGGCAGACAAGAGTTTAAAGGAGGAGCAGAATCGATAAGAGTAGGCTTCGGCCGCCACCCGGGCAAAATTCAAAATTTCCTACCAACTGAAAATTTTAGGTGTGTCCCGCGCGATCATATTATGACCTTTTGCAGTTGCGAGCGCCGTAAAACACTTTACCAAAAAAAGGGAAACAGGATGGGCCCTTGTCTTCTTGATATTCGGTGTTTGCCTCTCTTTCAATAGGTCCCGTGTTTGAAACCTGATAGGAGCGGGAAATTCTTTTTTCTAACAAATTGTAACATCCCCCGTTCACCTCTTTTTCTGCTCTCTCTAATTAATTTCAACCATCGTCTTCATCTCCACTTTCTCCC